AGGAATAGGGTTTTTGAGTTCTTGGCAGGGCTGAACCCTGAATTCGACATTGCTAGGTAGCATATTCTTTCTAGGGAGGGTGTGACACTCTCTCAAGCCTATGCCTTTGTCTTTAGAGAGGAGAGTAGGAGAAATTTAATGCTGAAACAGCCTGGGATTGACCAGTCGACTATGGTTGGTACAACAAAACCTAAGCTGAACGGAGATAGGAGTAGTAGTGAGACTAGAAGGGAAGATAAGAAGGACTTGGTGTTTAATTATTGCAAGAAGCCTAAGCATACCAGGGACACTTGCTAAAAGCTTCATCCAAATCTTATGCCTGCCCGAATAAGGAACAAGAAGGGAAATGCAAATGTAGCCACTACAGGAGACTCTTCGGCCCCTCTTTCCCAAACTGATTGGGAATCCATTGCAGTAGTAGCAGTGATGATAGAATTGGAGAGGTTTGGACAGCTTATGAGTAAGAAAGATTCACCTAGCACTAGCCTTCCAAATGGACAACAGAATGCAAGAGCCAGCTACACCTCTTCCTTTGCACATGCAGGTAGTTCATATGCAACTACAAATCTTGCATCCACTTCAGGTAAGGAGGGACTTCCTTGTATTATAGACTCAGGAGCATCTGAGCACATGACTAATGCCCCTACCCATTTTAGTTCCTATCAGTTGTTCTCTAGTAGAGACAAAGTCTCTACAACAGATGGTTCACATATGCCCATTGCTGGAAATGGGACAGTTAGAGTCACCAATGATAATAACACTGTCTTCTATTTTACATGTTCCTAGACTTCATACCAACCTACTGTTTGTTAGTTATTTGACAAAAAATTTGAATTGTTCAATGACCTTTCTTCCTGTTAATTGTGTTTTGCAGGATCTGGAGTCAAAGAAGATGATTGGAAGTGGTCGTAAGGTGAATGGAGTCTACCTTCTGGATGAGATTTCGAGACATCAGGGCCATCATGTTAGCAGTAGCAGTAGTAGTGGATCATAGTCAGTAAACCAGATTATGCTCTAGCACAATCGCTTGGGGCACCTTTCTTATAGTTCCTTGAAATGTCTTTTCCCAAAGTTGTTTGAGTCTGTTCAGTTGTCTACTTTGGAGTGTGAGAGTTGTCAGTTAGGAAAGCATTGTAGACAGTCTTTTAAACCAAGTAATAAAAGAAGTACTTTTGCTTTTAATATTGTTCACACTAATGTATGGGGGCCATATCATATCCCTTCCATGGGAGGATTCCGTTACTTTCTCTTGTTTGTGGATAATTGTACACGATATTCTTAGATATATTTGATGAGATCACGTGATGAGGTTCCTAACGTGGTACGACAGTTCCACCAGATGGTTCTCACACAATTTGGAGTGAGAATGAAGGTTTTTAGATCAAATAATGCCAGAGAGTACTTTGAGAAGAACCTAACCACATATCTCCTAAAACATGGGATAATTCATCAGAGCAGTTGTGCATATACACCACAACAGAATGGAGTTGCTGAGAGAAAAAACAGACACATCGTGGAGATAGCAAGGAGTCAAATGGTGTGTGCTTCAGTTCCTGTGCAATTCTGGGGAGATGCAGTTCTTACAGCCATGCATTTGATTAACCGTGTTCCTTCACGAACTTTGGGATTTAAGGTGCCATTTAGTCTGCTTTTTCCAGATGGGGAGATATTTCATATACCTCTGAGGGTTTTTAGGTGTGTTTCCTTTGTTCACATTCTTGGCCCTCACCGCAAGAAATTGGATCCTAAGGCTAAGAAATGTGTTTTTCTTGGGTATGCTTAGAACCAAAAGGGGTATTACTATTATAACCCAGTGTCAAGGAGTAAATTTGTCACAATGGATGTTACCTTCTTTGAATCCACCTTTTTCTTCTCGAGTGGTAACTCACAATTTGTTCCTCTTCTTGTTTCTTTGTTGCCTTCATCAGTTCATCCAGCACCTGCACCTCCAGTTTCATTACTTGAGCCACTACGGGCAGCTTCACAGAAATATCAGCGCCAGCAGATGATGGTTGACTCCACACATCCTCAACCCACACCGCTCTCTATTAGTCATTCTGAAACTCCAGATTCGGCAGATACAATTCTACGTATTCCTCTTAAGCCTGAGCCTGTTATGCTTTCTGATGATAATGTTCCTGTCCCTAACACCATTGTTGCAACTGATCCCACTGATCTTGATCTTCCCATTGCACTTCGTAAGGGGAAGAGAAAGTGTACAGCCCATTGCATTTCACACCATCTTTCCTACAGTGCCTTATCACCCTCCTACCGTGCTTTTCTTTCTTCCMTGDATTYTGTGTCTAKAYCYAGGAATGTTACTGAGGCTCTCTCCAAACCTGAGTGGAAAACAACCATGCAAGATGAGATGGATGCTTTGGTTAAAAATCAAACTTGGGAAATAGTTGATCTCCCCCCAAACCAGATGTAGATGGGTATTCACAGTGAAGTATAGGGCTAATGGCAAGATAGAGAGGTACAAGGCAAGGTTGGTAGCAAAAAAGTATACTCAGACCTATGGTGTTGATTATCTGGAAACCTTTGCACCAATAGCTAAGATGAGTTCAGTTCGTATCCTTTTTATCTCTAGTAGCCACCTATTCATGGCCTTTGTTCTAACTTGATGTCAAAAATGCCTTCCTCAATGGTGATTTATAGGAAGAGGCATATATGGACATTCCAGCAGGCTTTTATGAGAATGTTGGTAAGGGAAAGGTGTACAGACTCAGAAAATCTCTATATGGACTGAAACAGTCACTTAGGGTTTGGTTTGACAGGTTTAGAGGGGCATTTATCTGTTTTGGATACACAGAGACATAGTCTGATCACACTCTCTTTGTGAAGAGGATAGATGCTCTGGTGTCAATTCTGATTGTATATGTGGATGATATAGTGGTGATAGGAAATGATCTGGAGGAGATTGATGATCTCAAAAAATCATTGCAGCAAGAATTTGAGATCAAAGATCTTGGTGAGCTCAAATACTTCTTGTGGATTGAAGTTGCAAGGTCCAAGCATGGGATCTTCATTTCATAGAGGAAGTATGTACTTGACCTATTGCGGGAGACTGGGAAGTTGGGGACCAAACCAGCAAACACTCCTAGTGATCCAAATCACAGAATTAATATCAAAGAATGGTGGGCCGATTGCTGTATTTGTGTATGACACGACCAGATATTTCTTATGCTGTCAGTGTTGTGAGTCAATATATGCATGCACCTCGGGTTCAACACTGGGAAGCTATTGAGAGGATACTTGCATATCTAAAAAAGCACCCTGGCTGAGGCATTCTTTTCTCAAATCATGAGAATCTGAAGCTAGAGTCCTATACAGAAGCAGACTGGGCAGGATGCTTAGATGACAGGAGGTCTACATCAGGAGTATGTACCTTTGTAAGTGGAAACTTGATCTCCTGGAAGAGTAAGAAGCAAGCRGYTGTGGCAAGGTCAARTGYAGAGGCTGAGTATAGATCCATGGCTCATGGTGTCTCAGAACTTCTTTGGGTTAGATCTCTTTTGAATGAAATTGGGGTGAAAGTAGAAGAACCTATGATGTTATACTGTGACAATCAGGCTGCAATCAATATTGCCCATAATCCAATTCAGCATGATAAGACAAAACACATTGAAGTTGATAGACACTTTATAAGAGAAAAGGATAATAACCAGAGAAGTGTGTTTGCCTTATGTCTCTTCAAAGTTGTAGTTGGCTTATGTTATCACTAAAGGGGTGGCAAAAAACAAGCTTGAACATGATCTACGCAAGTTGGGAATGTGTGACATTTACTCCCAACTTGAGGGGGAGTGTTGAAGATTAATCAGTTTTATGATGTTTTTTATGAGTAGATGTTTTATGTTAGTTGTTAGATAGGAGGTGGGGACCACAGTAGTTATGTGAGTCCAAATTTTATTATGTTTTTGTGTCTTATATATGCTGTTTTATGTCTTGCCGCCCTATAAGGGCATAGTTGTCTTTGTACTGCTCTATTATTTTTAGTATAAATAATAAGTGAAGGGGGGCGGCCAGATTATTTCTCTCATTTCTTTTCAACTTCTCTTCTTCTCCATCTCTCTTCCTTCTTTCTTCAAGAAACTCTTTTATTTCATATTTTTCAATTCAGCAAGCTTTCTACTGGAACCATGTTCTCATACTTCATCTTAAATAATAAAATTTACTGAAAAAACCTTGCCACATCATTGCTAAGCATACCTCATTAATCAGCCCTAATTCAAAATCAATCCATGCAGTTGGGTGCTTGCATTCTATTAGTTCTTTCATAGGCATTCTGAACAAGGTAAACTCAAGTTAGAAGATTATAACTACTTAAAGTCAGAATAGTGTGAAGATTTGCACGAAAAGAACTAACACTAAGCCATCAGTCACATTATGGTAAGATATGAGAAACAAGAAATAACTACCACATAACAGCTAGATAAGTTAAACTCATTTTTTAACACCACGCAGGCCTTTATGTCATATCCAATTATATGGTTTCAATTTGATGTTTGGTGCTGAAGAACTTTAACCAGTATTTTAAAAAGAGAAACACAATAGAAGCACAAGGGATTCATAGACCCTAAGACACTAGGTGAAGTGTAGACACCTTAACAAAGTGAGGAACCACTTTTGAAGGAAAATCAGAAGAAAAGCTTAATATACAATAATTATCAAAAAATAACTTAATATACAACTACATGCAAATATAAATTCTAAAATAGAATATTTCAAAAAGTCTATAGGCTCAATTGGTTAGGTAATCATATTATAACACGAAAGTAGCCTTGTATTTCCAAATCCTACATAACCAAAACTGTTTTTAAGTCTAAACATTATAGGAACAACCAACAGCATATAAATTATTTATTCAACATTAAATCAAGATAAATTTATCAAAATTAGCAACAAGCAAGGCATGCTCAAGGAATACCTTTTAAACAATGATTTTAATGCTTTATTTATATAAATGCATATTATGCATTTAGTAAGGGGGACATTGCTTGGTGTAATAGAAAAATCTCGGCCCAACAACCATTAGAATGCAGGCTTCTTCTAAGAGTAGCCACTTTCTGCAAAAAAAAGGCCAAAATTCAAGCATGTATCCAGTCTATCATTCCCAAGACCAGAGTTATCTGGGACTAACATTGGGTAATGGCATTACATTATGCACTTAGTAGTCCACAGAAAAACATACTGAAGCATAGCAATGGCAAATTAGTGTTTTATTGTACTTTCCCGTTGTACAGCCGATAGTTGTACAGGGGTCTATCTTGAAAACTCCTGGAGTTCACTGTTAAGTTCCAGTCTTGCCCAATATTTCCTTCAATAAAAAAAAAAAAAAAAAAAAAAAAAAACATTTAGAAATTTCCTGCAAATTTTCCCAGAAATTTCCTTGTTCAAAATCATCAAAATTTCCCCTGAAATTGAATATGTGAACCTTATAGTTGACAACGAACAAAGTAATGAAGGTTAAAAATTGCATTTAACACTATAGTTGGCTCATATCTAGGATGAGAAGGAAGTTAAGAGGTGAATACATGCAGCTAAGTATAACCAGTGTTACATGGATTCACCTAAATGGATCAAGTGTCTGTATCAAACATGTGTCAGACTCTAACAATCCATGGATGTCATTTTTCCTACAAAATGTTATTAGTAATAAAAATGTCATTTAAACCTTTTTCTATAGGTTTATTATGATAAAACTCAAAATAGAATATGGACAGTGTCAACCGTTTATACTTTTTTTTACACGTGCCCATGAGTCCTTGTTTCCTTGTCTTGCAGTTAATCAAGGCTTGAGGAATTTATTTACCTGAGAAGTGACAAACTACAACCTTCCAGCACCTCATTTTAGGATAGATCTTACAGTGGATGGAATCTGCTTAGAAGGCCATGCCTGGGATGGCAATTAGTCGGGAAACCATGGAAGTGATTATTTTATCATTCAGTGCAACAAATCATCACATGGTTCTCATCAAATCAGATCATTGCAAGGTGATGCAACATAGATTAAAAAAACCTTCAAAAGGGGTCTATTCCATCTCTTATTTCTTGCTAAGACCTTCAAAAGTGACTCAATTCCTTCTCTCATCCCCTAACCCCCTAACATGTAACTGCTTTGTCTCTTCAAAACAATGATTTCTTTAATTGTGGCTTTCTTGTCAGAGTTTTAAGGTTGTCTTTAGCTGTTATTAGTTTAGAATAGTGTTGATTCATCCCCCTTTAGATGTTGTGAGGGGAATCTTCCTTTATATGTTTATGTTCCTGCATTTTTGCTCTTCTTTAATTCAACTTCATTTATCACCAGAATAAGATCATTAGATCATTCCAAGTACTTTCCATTGTCTTCAATTTTTAAAACTAAAACCTCTCGATTCATAAAAGCCTACAAATCTTTCTACAGAATGTGCTATGTGCTTGACCAATATGCCAAAAGCCTTAAGACTGATGGAACACATCAAGCCAAGCATTTAACCAACCATAACATACCACCACGCTTCCATAGTCGATGTCTCGGCGGCTTCACTCTAGGCAGCTCTCACTCGAGCGGTAGGTAGCCCTCTTCATGATGACTCTCACTCTGGCAGTGGGTAGCTCTTTCCACGACGTCTCACACTATGGCGGCAGGTAGCCCTTTCCCTTCAGCGGCTTTCACTCTGCTCCAAGTAGCCCTTTCAGTGATGGCTTTCACTCTACTAGGTAACCCTTTACATGACAGTTTTCACTCTACTAGGTAGCCCTTCCAGTAGCATTATCCGTGATTCGATGATGGCAAGTTTTGATACCAAATGTTATTTACTTGAGACTTGACCAATACATCAAAAGCTTAAGACTGATGAACACTTTAACCATTTAGGACCGTAACAGAAAATTACTGCTCAAGTCCCAATAAAAAATTCTACAACAACTCCCTCCAAGATAATGCTAATAACAAAAAAGGTGAAGAACTCGTTGCCGAGTTTACGTTAAATAGAAAAGCAGTTTCTCCTTGGTACTACTAACCATTATAAAAAGATCTTTCAAAATCCATAACCCATTTCACACGAAACAGAAACCAGAACCCATTGCAATACGAGAAGAATTTCCTACATCCTTTTCAGTTCACCCCAGCTTTTGGAAACTAAACAATAGAAAAAAAATCACATAATTCTAGAAACCCATCTCTGAACTAAAAGTCTTCTGACAAAGTACTCAGGAACTTCATCCGACAAGATAATAACAAAGAATGAATAATCGTTCAACCAAGAAAGAAAAATAATATTAAAAATACCTGAAAAAAGCTGGTACATCCTGGTAGAAAGGATCCCGAACAATTGTGTCCATGACATCGAACAGCAATATGGGTAGTTTTCTCTTCTCTGAAGACGGCAATGAACTTGTAATGCTTTGAGACATTCTTACAGATTTCGAGTTCGGTTTCGGGGGTATAAAGACTGTATATCTCAATAAAAGAGCCATTTGATTTTGATTATCAATTCAATTGTTCATTCTGGCATTCAACGAAAAAGATGCCAGAGCTTCTTGTTTGACCAAAAAATAAAAATTCAAGTAAATAGCTTACCAGAATCAGAATATCTATAAGGTAAAATGGTTTCAGAAACACGGAGAAAGCATGCTGAGCGGAATTGGGATACGCTCCTTACAAAACGCGCCTCACACCAGCTTCACAGGCCGTAACCGTTCGATTACAACCATCCAAGCCCCACGTAACGAATGGAGCAATCTATGATTCTTATCTAATGGATTGCTTCTCTATCTTGGTTTTTAAAATAGACCCCAAATAGAGATGAACAGATGGCAGCGTCTTTGAATTGGGCTTAAATCGATTCCTTTCTTTTTTTTTCGGCTTAAATCGATTTTTTAAGGTTTAGGGTTTATCATTCTCAAACTGACCTTGATTGGATTTAGTGGAAATGGCCTTAAAATCAATTTTAAAAAGATTTTAAAGATGTGAAGATTTGAACCCAAAAAACAAATGGTTATAAATATCAAATGTATGGTTATAAAAAGATCACTTTCTCACTTAACTTTTTAGTCACTTAATCAATTTGGTTATTTTTCTTTAATTTTTAATATTTGAATATGTATAATAAATAATTTAAAAGATAATATTTATAAAATTTAAATTATAATGATTAAATTTTAAACTATATATATATATATATTAATTAGTGTAGAGGCACGTACTATACATGTATGGAAAATAAGGTAAAACATCATATAATTAAATTTAATCTTTGTGACATGCACCAAACCAAAACAAGCATTCGCTTTATAATAATATAAATATATCTATGATAACCCATGACACGAAAGAAGGGATAGTGTGAGGTGTCAAGATATGAACACTAGCTAGCAAAGGGCTGAGAACTAGGAAGAGCATTCAAGATGGGTTCCGCCACCTGTGGAGGGTGGAGGAGGGAGTAGAAGAACCAATGAAGGAAGCAACACTTGAAAACGATAGGGAGGAAGGTGAGGCAAAGGTGGACGTTGGTATGGTTGATATGAGAGCAAGAAAGCAAGACACACAATCCTGTGATGGAGGATGCACGCAAGGGAGAATGTGTGGCACGATAGAGGTGAAGGTTAGAGGAACCATAGTGCTAGAAGACTATCAACTCTAGTCAATCAATAGCTTGTGCCACATAGCAATTATGCATAGGACAGAAATGCATCATCCTTGAATCAAGCTAGAAGGGGTCCACTTATTATTATATAATAGAAAGGAGGGGAAAGCTAGATTTTAGGAAATGACTTAACCCAAAGGCTGAACTAGGAAAGTATAGAGGTGGAGATTGAAGAACTAGTTTGGGTAGATTTTCTTAAGTCTAATTCGGGGTGATTTGACCTTTGTTGAGCCAAAATGTATTAATAATACTACCAACCCTATGGTGAGTATCCAGTGGTATGGGGTTAACCAAAAAAGGAGAAGATTGTAGGAGATAATTTCAAAAGACATAGAAATAGGGGATAAGGAGGGAGGAATAAAGCTTAGGTAATGAAAACAAGGCCGAGAGTATGTGATCGGTAATTGCACATCACAACAGGTGCAATGGATATAATAGTGCATCATAACTTTAGGAGCATGGAAATGAGAAAACCCAGTATGTCTACAAGATGCAT